AAAATTGTAATCGGGCGAAGTGTTCGGGGTCAATACAGGAATCCTGTCAGCGCAGTACCATTACCATAGGTTCAACCATACGCGCAGTAGTGCGCGTCAGCCAAGCTTGTACTGCATAAATGAAGTGGTAGGAGTACCAGCATCGGTGTGGCCTACGTATGGGCGAGTCTTTGCGGTGGGCGTCTGGGTCGGCATGTTGCACCTTGGTCGAAAAAGGCGCACACAGCACAGTAGTGGTAGAGGGCACAATATTTTCTCGTGCTAGGCGTATCGACACTGTGTGCCTTGTCGTTTTATCGTCCGCTTGCCTTCAAGCAATAACACTCTGCACATTTGCGCTCACAGCTGAGCGCATGTCACTGTCACGCCCTCCCATGTGCCTGGACATGAGCTTCAACGCCATGGAACATAGAAATTCTTTTTCGACAAACTGGCCTAACTTCATTTGCCAATGGTTTGTGTAACGAGATATCATCAGAGAGCATGATATCTACACAAATCTCTCTCGATTCAGGAATCTCTCCCAAATATAGAGGAACGAGCAGATGAGCCGTACGAGTGAAGCGAGGCTAATCTCCAATAGAGACGAGCCAGATGACTGAAATGTGCAGTCCGTCCCTATACTGAATACCGATTCGTGAAAACGTGAAACTCCTACCAAGAAATGGTACCATTTTGAGAACAGTCCATGATCGACTCTTCATTAACCACGGCATGACGACAGCAATATTCACAGGTGTTTCTTTAGCGGTCCGAGATTGTTACAAATCTTTGCTCGACCAACCTTTCAACAGTCTTGCCTCTTTCAGGAGCCTTTCTAGGAGATGTCGCCTGCAGCCGGCATCCTCTGCCGAAACGTTGGTCGAGTAAAGATTTGCAACAGCCTAAACAAGATTTGACAGTGGAAATCGAAAAATAATCTCCTGAATCCTTAAAAAATTGTTCTCGAATTGTTTCACGGGCAAGGGACGGCAGATAGAGTGAAAAAAGCGAATTTGAATTCAATGGTCGGCTTCATTTTGATTCTAAATGGAATGCGCAGCGCATTCTAAAAAGGGTCGAACAAAAACGAATTTCAACGATAACAACAACAAGCGCTGCTTGTTGGGACTGTGGCACACGTAAACGAATCGTCCAAGAGGGAAAATATCGCTCGTTTTACTTCTGCCAAACGAGGTTGTAATTGAACATTCGACATCATGCCAAAATTGCGAGAAGGGACAACGTGCAGATTAATGTTCTCTTAATTGTTCCGAGGCCAAAATATCGCGGGGCCAAAATACGCAATTTTCCCCTTATATAGCCCCAAATGGAGGCGTAGCTGGTGTAATCGCAAATGGCACGCTTACGACGCTCACGGTTCGGGCTTAAAGTCTGGTGTCAGCTCCCGCCCAGCTGACTTGTACGTACTTCGGATGGCCCCTCAAGTCATTGAACAGGCTACACCAAATTCAACAGGCCACTGCGCTTCTGAATCGAAGTAGATTGCGTGCCACATCCCTAAAAGGGACTAAACAACAGCAAAGGCTTCATCCTTATGCCTTGAATAATTCTTCACCAGGTATTGTACTTCCTTTTTCTGTCGACAACTGTTTTCTCCACGTGAAAAGAACGTCTTGGACAACAATGCAGTGCTGGCAAGCAGCGCTACGTATCACGCGACAGTTCTGTGTAAAATCTCGGACTGCTCCTTCCCGAGCCAACCAAACCTACATTCTCTTGGATTCTTCAGCTGACCCAAATCAAAGTAAAGAGTGGCTTCGGAAGCATTCTGCACTCCAACTTGTCTCTCACTCCTCTCCTTCTCACCTTCATCTCATACATTCCAATATACGACCCCCAATATACAGGGGGGGGGCAAAAAAGTCACTTCGACCGAGTCACATATCAGCAAAGTTTTCGCTGCCCAGACAGAGGACGTGGATACGAGTACCAGGGCGGAAGATACCCAAGATGTTCCTCGATAAGCAGGAGCTGGCTCTCGCCCATCACCTTCAAAATATGAAGTCATCTCCAGTCGCAGCCTGACTGGAGAAGACCTTTGGAATTCATGTCACCTCCAAACAGCTGCGAAACTAGTATGGAGTCACCCATGGATAGCTACCTGGAGACCAGTACTCTCGATCTGGAAGACCTCCAACATCGAGCAGCTCCGACAACGTCGCCACGGTCTAGGACATCATCTTCACCACAGTCGCCAAGGCGCGGGTTGATGGTATGGACCGGACGTACCTGGAATGGAAAGACCAATATTTTCTTCGTGGACCCCGGACTGAAGGTGAGCGCTGGCGGTTACATCGAGCAACTCGTGAAGAATATCCTCCTCACATGTCGTCGCCCGTACCTTCTTGGAAACTTTGTACTGCTACAGCATTGGGTGCCACCACGGAATCGAAGGGCATTGGAGAAACTCTCGCCTACTTGGAATGGAAGGGGGCTGAGTACCTAAAGAAGATGGAATATCCAAGTAGGTCACCTGACCTGAATCCCCTCAATTACCCGGTTCGGGCGGAGTTCAATGGGGTGGAAGTCGTGCTCCCAATCTAAACTGTTATCAAGTGGTTTCACCTTGAGGGAAATTAGGCCTGTTCATCTCGAACGAGACTTAATCCGAGATTTGACTCCCAGACTGTACACGTGATAAGAAGCCACACATGGTACTACACCACATTCGCTTCGTGTGTTAAAGGCGAAAATTGAATAATTACTGACGTTGACACTATGCAACTTTCATATACTCCTAATCCACAAGATGGGGTAGGTGTGGCTACGTCCATCATTTCAACATGACCGCGGCTATTTTTCTTTTGTGGGATATTCTCATTTTGCAAAATTGTGGCTATTTCTTTGCAACACTAAAGAAGGTGGTAGCTGTCTCAATATGAAATATTCTACGAATAACCCATTCCAAGTAATTTTCAAATAAAATAGGCCCAAGGCCTACCGTGTCTCAGGCATGTGGAGTTCAACTAGATGCATTAAATTCTTCCCTCCCGCCAAATTGTAAGCCGTAGGGGAGGCCATCCTCCACGTCTCTGAATGGAAGTGGAATGTGTGGTGTACTCCGAATGATGACCAGCCAACGCTGAAAGTTCGTTGCATCACTATCCAAGAGCACCTGACCGAACCACTGAGTAATGGATAGCATTGCAGCGTAGTTAAAATAATTAGCTTAATTCACTTCCTCTAAACTATGTCAGTAATGCTCGGCTTATAAAACTGCTTACATTAGTGCGCTGATTTTGCCAGTTACCGCTTCAGGTTAAAGAGTAGTATCTCGGAAGTCTTTTAGTGTGAAAATCTTCACTACAACTTTTCACACTTGCGTCCTCTAGCCCGTCTTCTACCTGCAGCACCGCAAACATTCTTACATTAGCTGAAGAATAAGTAATGCTTTCTGATCGACAGCAGCCTTTGCTGATCCTTCTCTACCAAATCAGGACATCCACTGCCCCATGCTCCACAACTAAGTTCGTCACACATGCATGACCTGCGCCGACTCTAATGATGCTTACCCTGGCACGTGATGTATCGGATTTGTGGGCTCTGATAGTACAAACAGTTGTGACAGCACAATATTCACATAAATTTATTATTTTCATGGAAAACATACATGTCGACACTCACAAGAGTGTCTGTCGAATTCTAACGAGAATTTTTACACGGGATTTTTGTCAGTCTTTTTCCGGTCCCTCATTCCACCAGTACTCTGTCGTCGTCCATTCCGTAGATATGGATTATTCAATTGCAGGGCTTCGTTATTTAACGTTTGCCGAATGTTTTGAGAAGAACCCTGAAAATATGTTTAGGTGTTCTGCATACTGAGCGCATGTGGTATCAGTAGCTCAAAGGAAGAAGTTAGCTGGGGGGGGGTCACTCGATGCAACTGTAGCGAAATAATTATTAGGGATACTGGCATACGGCAATGATCTTCTAGCAATCATCCTAGTGTGACTTCGCTTGAAGATGCACAGAATATTGCTTAATTGATCCCAAATATTATAAATTTGTAGTTGTTCATCGAGTTAAAAGAAAGGCTAGAAAGACAAGAGAGGTGATAGACGTGATCCGGCGCGGATCATACCCATTATGTAATCGTGGAAGAGGTCCTTAGAATTTTCCGAGGACTCCTTTTCAGTTGGAAACAGCCCAAGTTGAATACAGACTCAGGTGGGCCAATGCAGAGTGGAGTTGGAAAAACCGGTAAAGGAATCAAAGTAATGGAGAAGCTCACTCAACAATTGCTATTCTGTCTGCGCAGAATGTTAGAGATGTGGCAACTAGTTACCACAGACCATCATCTTACAGTTCAGCAATCTATGTACCTCGTGGCACAGTTCGGCGACGAGGGGGGGGGGAGATTTTGTACTTTTGCTATTTCCCATCGATCCTCTCGAGCCCACCTCCACCTAAGGGGATTGTGAGAAGGTCATCAAGGAATCGGAGAATAAATTGCTTGAACTCACAGCATTGCTGCCGGTGGTCATTTGCCGCATATAATCGTCTTGGATATCCTCCCCTTCGCCGTGCTCCTCTTTCACCTGCTCCCTGGTGATGTTCAATTCCTTTAGTTTTCTATCCAAAAGCTCACTGAACAGCGCATACAAGCTGTCAAGGCTTTCGCCACTAGCGATGGCCTAAATCACAAGCATCAGTATTACTTCAATGAGAGCACTAGTAAGTTATTTTACCTTGTCAAGCTGCTTTCGCGCTGGTGTTACGGTCATATCATTTTGTGATAAATCTTTCTCGAAGCCTGTATTGACATATGCATCGCCGAAACGTAGCTCTTGCCTGCAAACAGCGTGTGTTAGTTGTCATTTGAACTCCACGGTGACCTGCTTTCGAAGAGAAGTAAGCGCATACTCTCGGAGCGCCGAGATCCTCTTGTGCTCGGCTTTCTGCAATTTTGTGAGATTCATCGCATCTTCAAGTGTGATTTTCTGATAAGCCCGAACGATAGTTGAGGCGTCGAAGTTTTTCTTCTTCTCATTTTTCATCAGAAGTTGGCCGCAGAATTTTTGCGTTGAAGCGTTCAAAACTGAAAATGTATCGTGTAGATGTACAGAAATGGTTATCAACTGCATCAGCTACGACTGGCAAAACAGCTCGAGATTCGTTTAGGAAGTCTGGGTGCATACAGCACCCCCGAAAATTGATCGTGAAACTAAATGTGTCAGACCGTGAGCGCACACACGTACCTTAGGAATCAATGCAGCGCAGGATACGGTACACAGGTCTGCGCTGGTAACAGGTGTGTTGCTCCCGATCACCCGGAGCCTCCCCTCCCCTCGGATTGTGCACAAGACGTATAGTACAGGCTAATAAAAGTACTTCAAACTTTAGTACCTCAACCGCCTTACGATGTGACCCGATTGCGTGCACACATTTAATTTCACGCGAAATTTTCGGTGGTACCCTATGGACCCTGACTTCCTGAACTTATGATCTTGTCAAAACAGCAACACATGTGGCCTTTACACAATGGCCAAACTTGACTCCGTCTCTAGTCTATCTTCCTTCACTCAATAGCTTGGGCGCTTGATTGACGTAAAGGAGCAGCCTGTGCTAGTCTTATGGGCGTAATCATACCCTCCCTTCTGAGTCCCTCATTGAAGCCTATTAAAAGAGATTTGAGTGAATGCTCCCTAAGAAATTATATAGAAATGTTTATCTTGAAGATATTGCGTCACCCCATAAGGTGCCTGGGAGAATTACACCAATTGGACAAGGCGCTGACTCTCAGAGTAGAGCTCATCTAAGGCAGAGCCTGTTGGTGAAAGGAACCATTATCCCGGCGGAAGGGTGAATATGAGAAGTCTCGTGATAAGTCACACCCTTTTAGCTTTCATTCTAGCAGAGCGCACTTCGGCGAGGTGAGGGAGCATTTGCACTTGCCGCTCCGCTGATCCCCTTAGTTTGTGTGATTCATTTATGAACAAGTGAGACTGAGCCTGCTTAATAAAAAGAGTAAAGAGGTTGAGAGTATTCTATCACTGAAGCAGTTCACTAAGATAATTCTTCTATGAGTTTGCTATGGCATCAAATCACGGCCTTTATCTGAGGCGGCGTCAGGACAATTCGCGAAGTCTCAGCTGGCACTCGTACAGGGGAGGGTTGGGGCATAGGGGACCTTATTCAGATGAGTCCATTCTCGGCGAATGGCTTGATTTGCATGCTTGGGCACTCTTCGTTCAGGGACCATATAAGTGTAAGAATGTCATGTTCCCAGCGGGAACCTTTGAGAAATTAGAAGACAAAGGGTGAACAATATGACTGACTGTCAGAGAGTTTTCATGTGGACAAGAAGTTGCATTCCTGCCACTTAAGCTCTCTTAATCGTCACTACAAGCCATAGACATTGTTTTAAAGAAATAAGAGCGCCTAAAACGTCAGCGCGACTACAAGAACTAAGAGCGAGAAGGGCTCCCTATATGGCTAATTTCTTTGAACTTGTAGAAGTTTCTTTGTTACACTACTTGCAACCCCACACTTGTTGTGTTCCTTGCACGGAACCTTTACACATGCCAATGTAAGTAGTTGTGTAAATGAGCTCTACGACCTGGCGGGCTCCCTGGCGCAGTTAGGTGACGGGGCGGCATTTGACAGTGTTTTTATTTTCCAACAGTGATTTGTATAAAAGACTCACTTATCACGCAGTGAATAGTGGCCCTGTTGCCCGGCAATGTCCTCAACACCCGACATCATGTAATCCAAGTACTGAAATAGAAAAACTTATTTGTAGTGGCAATGTTGCTTTTTCTTCTTTTTGAGAACAATTCCCTTAGTGAGAACTGTCCTCACCCCTTGTGCTGTCTCGGGACCAGGACTTCCTATTAACTCAGGGGCCAAACGTTTAGAGCCCTCGCCGTCAGCGTCAGCAACTAGGAAAATATAGATCCATCTAACGGACGGCAGCGCTTACCAGCGCCCATCAGCGTCCACGATTGGAGAGTATGGGAAGTAGGAGGGTAGCAGACTGCTGGTCAAGTATGGGAAGTGGGAGGGATCAGAAAGCTGGATTAGGCGCCTTGGAATTGCGGCTTGGGCAAACGTACAGCCCACTACATAATACCGCATTTATTGCATAATAATGTGCTCTAGCAGTTGTACGATGAGCTTGCACACGCCCCACTTCCCACACCCCTAATTTCTGGACGCTGGCAGACGCTGTTAGTTGTTGCCGCAAAGTATGAACGCAGCCTAATAGCTTATTGAATGCGATAAGTCTTATGCAATGATGTGTGTGGGGCAGCAGCTGTAAGTCAAAGCTTTCGTCCTCCCATACATATTTGATTCTAACTTAGTGTTCCCGGGAAGAAGGCTTGGTGAGCTTGTGTGGGAGCGAAGTCGGCAGCCGACCCCGCGCGAGTGGTAAGCAGGCCACACATACCGCTATCACCCCGCCTATCGTACTAACTCAGTGACGCAAACTGTGAAACGAAAGCAAGCTCCGTACCGCATACAACACAGCAGCAGTAAGAGTTCTGTTTATGTGCATCTACAATTTCGGGTACAGTTGAGACGAAGTAGGTGCTTTACCTACTACTATGGTAAGGGTCGAGCGCTCCATCTTTGCGTCGACAGTAGAGACCACTTTATCACTAAGCTACCCTAGACTAGACTAGAGAGGAACTCAACAAGCACAAATTCCGGCCTCAAGTCCCGGCTGAGGCAATACTATTTGTTCACGAACAACCTTCCGATGGAATACAGCGCTTTTGCTTTCTGAAGTGTGGCTTCGAACTTCGAACCCGATATGGGGGAAAGAATCATTGCATGGCGCAACTAACGTACCAAAGGGGTTTCACATAACAGACCAAGCATT